TTGCTCTGGGCATAGTCCCAAAGCTCATCGGGCTGATAGCTTAGCGCCTCCCGCTCCCGCTCGGCGGCAGCGGCCAGTCCGATGCCGAAAAGTGGCTCCGATTGATACAGGACAAGCTTCACGTTGGGCTCTGCGGCACATCGAGCAATGGTCTCCGTGTTGTAGCTGACGCGCCTGTTCCAGTAGCCCACCACGACGAGGTAGCCCACCTTCCCACGCCTTCCGAGCCTGCGCAGATCACGAACGACATCGTGACAGTCAGGCTGTTTGGTCAAGTTGAAGCCGCACTGCAGCGAAGCGTCCGTCCAAACTGTCGACATGTTTCCGTGTTCTCGAAAGGCTGTTTCGATCGTTGCCACCAGTGGAAGGTAGCGAAACTGCTCAAACGCCTTTGGTGGTGGTGCCCAGTACACCCACACATCCGGCGGCGGGCTCATTCCCAAAAGCATGGATGCGAAGAGGCCACAGAGAGCTTGAGCTTCGAGCGCGCGAGCGAGGGTCAAAACGTTGATCACACCAAGTAAACCGTCGTAGGTCTCCACCCTCGCGCCCGCGCCTGTAGCGTCGGTGCGCGCGAGGATGGCCTCGCCGGGTGGTGCGGCCGCAGCAGCTACATGTATGCCTATGGCAGCAACCGCAACAAGAGGCAGCAGCGGCAGAAGCAGCGGCAGCAGCAGCAGCAGCCGCCATCGCCGTCGCGCGGTCGATCAGCATCTTGAACGAATGCCCACGATGATGAGCAGCGAGGCGAGGGATATCTCGCCGAGGAGACTCTCCTCGCTGCCGATCCTCGGCCCGATAAACTGCATTCTTTCTGCCTTCACCTGAAGAGAGAGGAGCTCGCCGGAGAGAGGCGCGCTAGCGGACGGACGTCAAAGGCCCGCACGAAGCCGCTATGCGCCTGACGGCTTTATTTACTTCTTTATTTACCTGTGTTAGTGCCAGTCAGTGCGCGCTCGCGCCAGTCCCGTGCCCAGTGAGTTTTGTTGTATTTGTGGTCCCCACAATCGCTGTCGTGGGATCGCTTGTCATGCGAGAGAGCGTCAACGTTTTTCTGAAAAGAGAAAACTTTCCTTCGACTGCTTGCCGTCCTCGCGATCACCATGGCCGAAGAGGGCTACGTACTGCCGGCCATCATTCCCGACACGCCAGAGCACCGGCTCCACATGTCAAGCTGGTGCAACGGCACCGCCCTTCGCCCGTCGGGCGGCGTCGGGCTGGCACCGTGGGTCGGAGGCCCCCTCCACCTCCGGCACATGGCGGCGTATTGCGAGGCGCGAGCTCCGAACCATAGCCTCACGAGCGGCTCTGGGCGGGAAGCCTTGGCCCGCAGGTCAAGGCCCGCTTCAAGGCGAAGTCGGGTTCGAAATCTTCTCCGAAACTGCTGCCGTGCCTGCGCCGTTGCCTCTGACTGCAGCCGTGGTTCTGCTCTTTGCCGCTTTGATTTTGGCCCTGGCGATCACTGCGCGGCTCAAACCTTTGAGGCCTTCACCGCCTCACCTCGTCTAACCTGTTGCTAGGCCTCGCAGTCAAACGTGCTGCACAGGGGGCATGCTCGCGGGTTGGGCAGCACTCATCACTTCGCCCCGTCACCCGCTCGCGGCCAGCGCGAGGGCACTCGCGGCCGGCAGCCCTAGAAGCGGAAGACACTAGCGCTCGAGAGGACATGTGTTCCGATGTGTTTGGCCGTATCAACAATCAAGCTGTGTCCATTCTGCACACTGCAGCGCATCGAAGTCGTTTTTTTCTCGTGGCCGTGGCCAAGAAATCAAAGCAGCGAGGTGCTTACTGGCGAGGTGAGACCGAGCACGCGCGAGCTGGAAAATGCGCCGCAAGGGCACATCAACCGCACACATAGAGGGAGCGAGAGCGCTG